TTACTGGTGCATACCGAACCTGGAGAGGCAGTTCTCACGCAGAGACCATGTGGGGACTTAGAAATCATATTAGAGCTTGTGCGCTCCCCACTGAGAGTAATGTACAAACCATGGAAAAGGTCAACAAGATGCTAATGTGCTCTCACCTCTTATGCTTAGATACAATTTTTCTATAAACTACTTTTCAGCAGCACATACAATGGGTATAACAACACGATGGTTTAGCTTCCACTTTATAGCTGGTTAGCAGCAATACTTGTTCAGAATAAGGCTGTGACAAGTATGTGAAAGAGGATATGGTGTCCACATGGGGACCAAATTTCAGGAACAAAAAAAGGAAGGGCTCAGGAGTTGCTTCTTCTTCGTGGTTGTGACTAAGGCTGGTCCTGCCTTTGCATGTCTGAAGCAACAGAGCTGCAAGTTCACAGACATCTGCTGCTTCTCTCACCATCATCTTCCTCCCTGAGCAGGGAAACCTAGTGTCTATGATTTGTTTGGCAGCATCTCCCACACAGGATCGCTTACATAATTTAATTTTCTTTTTAAGCCTCACCACCACTTCTCCCAGAATTTTACATGTTTAGTAACTATATATTTCTCTTGTTAATATATCATATTTCATTAACCTGTGTGAATCATACTTATGTAGTTGTTTGGTATTAAAGTGTGTAGTTCACTATTTACTGGAAAATTATAGACATCTCCAACTGTCTTATGTTTAACTAGCATCCCTAGTATTATTAGTTTATGTTTTGAGAGTTTTATACATGAAAATCCCATCTACATTACTCCTACATATCATCCAAACTTCTCTGGTTTCACCCTCTCCAAAATTTGTGATTCTTTCTTTAATTATTTTGCCACATGAATACATATATACACATACAATGATACTCTTTTGTGCATGTGTCCAGGGCTGCTCACTAATATGCCTGTGACTGACTGATGGACAACATACACTGGAATGAAATTGAAGTCACAAATGGCCTGCTTGTAGTGGAACTCATCACACCTTTCTCAAGTCAACTGGCCTCTGATGCCTCCTGTTAACACCAGTAGCTCCTGTTTGTCAGGTTCCCAGGGTTGACATGGTCTTCACCAACTTTGTCTTATGCTTTCAGTAAATGTGAACAAATAAGGTGGTTCCTATTCACTTAGCAGACTACCACAGTGTCCCTCCTTCTCCCTTCCCCTCCCCTTTACCTTAGCGCACAGCAGGGTACCTCTGCCATACCCGTGTACCTTCAACATCACCAGGCACGTGGTGACTTCCATGTGACTTTTCTAGTCTATTCTATTTAGCACAATCTTTTCTGTACTTCCTTTTTTCATCTGAATATTTTTATTCTTTAAAGAAATATCAAGAAGATTTCCAAGGATTATAAGAAAGCTAACGTTGAGCAGTCTCTGGCCAAAGATGGGCTAAAGGAAGCATATTTCTCTCAACCCAATTAGCTCTTCCTTTGAAGTTAAAAAAAAAAAAACAACAAAACTCTAAAACTTAAGGAGTTCTTGGAGGGCATTGGGAAGAAGAGATTTGTAGGACAGAGCCAAGCACCTTGGATTGATTCTGTATTTTCTTCAAAATGCTTTGAGATTTGTACTAGCCTGTATCATTCTTCCAGTCTGCCCATAGAAACTCACCAAGATCTCAGTGCATAATGTTGGTTCCTCAGCTCTATCTGACCTAGTGGTATTTGTACCAACTCGAATGTCTGAAATCACATTCATGCATCTTTATCAATATAAAGTTCACTTTGCCTCATTCAAAGGAATTTCTGCATCATCTCAGATCAAGACTATATTTTTTTTTCTTTAAAATCCTGCAGCATTTCTCTGCTTACACTTAACCTCCACTCTCTTACATTTTTGACTTTTCAAGTATACATTCAATGTCTCCTGCTTAGTTGGTTCTTTTGATGGCAGCACACAGCAGAAAATAATATATATAGGTACTTTGGTCTTACTCTGACTTGTAGAAGTCTAGGTTAAAGAAATTTCTTCTCTTTGGACTGTCCCTCCCAAGCAGTACTTGTAAAAGAGGAGAACCTGTTACTCTGGCTCTAGATGTAAATATTACTTTTCCACTTCCAGTTACCAGTAAATTAGCTTGTCTGAGTGACATTTATTAAATAATAGAAGTAGATTTGAAAAATCTCAATGGTGTGTGTGTGTTAAGGTAAATATTCTCAGTTTAGATAAGAAATAGTGTTAGTTTTCATCAGAGATACATAGTTATCATATTCAAAGAATTATAAGAAGCATACATACATTTCTATATAAATCATATGCTGCCACTTTACTTGCATGGTGTGTGTGTGTGTGTGTGTGTGTTATATGTATCACACATGTATGCATATATCTATATATATGCATGTGTAGAACCATAGGTCAACATCAATTCCTTCCCTAGTTACTTTCCACTTGATTATTATTATTTTAAAAATAATTACTGCATTTTCTGGGTTATGTATTTATTTGTTTTTCCCCTATTTTTACAGTTTATTCACTATGTATCCCCGCTGTTGCCCCCTCCTTCATTCTCTACCAATCCCACTCTCCCTTCCTTCTCTCCTCCCAAGAGAAGTGGACTTGGCCCCTCCCCAAGTCCACTGATAGGGTAGGTCCTCCTCCCCTTCCATCTGACCCTAGCCTATCAGTTCTCATCAGAACTGGTTGCATTGCCTTCCTCTGTGGCCTGGTAAGGCTGCTCCTCCCCTCAGAGGGAGGTGATCAAAGAACCAGCCACTGAGTTCATGTCAGAGACAGCCCCTGTTCCCTTTACTATGAACCCACTTGGACACTGAACTGCCATGGGCTACAATTGTGCAGGGGTTCTAGGTTATCTGCATGTATGGTCCTTGGTTGGAGGATCAGTCTCAGAAATCTCAAAACAGATTTTTTTGGATTTATTTGTGTGTGTGTGTGTGTGTGTGTGTGTGTGTGTGTGTGTGTGTGTGTGTAGGCATATAATTTCCATTGCGTGTAGGCATATGATTTCCATTGTGTGTGTATGCTGGGATCAGAAGACAACTTAGGATATTTGGTTCTGTCATTCCATAATGTAGGTCTTGGTTATTGAACTCATCTCTTTACACTGGTGGTAAGCACCCTTAAATGCCATTTTACTGGCTCTTCACCTCTATTTTGAGACAAGTTCTTTCAGTGTACCAAGATCTCAATTTGGCTAGACTAGGTGACCAGAAAGCTCTAAGAGTCCTTCTGCCTCTCCCTCCCCAATGCTGAAATCACAGGTACATGATGCTGCACCAGGCTCTAAACAGTGTGTGCAGAGGATCTGAATTCAGACCCTCATGCTTTTGCCACAGGGACTCTGCCCACTGAGCTATTTCCCTAGTCTCTCACTTCATTTCCAAACCTTTGAAATTCCCTACCATGCTTTACGGGTTTGACAATACTGGTCCATCCACTTCTTTACCTGAATCTCTGCCAGCCACTCCCCTTTCTCACCACATCCTGCTCTCAGTTTCCTGGACTGCCATACTCCTGCCATCACCCTCTCTCTTCTTGATTTCCTCTAGCCAGTATCCTCTGCAGGATGGGCTTCCTCTTCTTTCCTTCATCAACTCTTTTTTTGTACTTTGAATTGTTCTCTGGTTTTTAGAGGAACTTGAGTCCCTGTATTATATATTCCTAATTTCTCAATTGTGATTGTGCATGTACTAGTTGTGAAATAATTTTTGTGTCTGTGTTCTTCATCCAACTATAAGTGCTGCCATATCAGAAATTACCCAAAAACCATGTACTACAAGTGTTCAATGCTCAGAATAAAGACCAGTGCATAACATGCTTGAACAATGGAACAAGTAAACATTTTATGAGTAATTGTCTGACACAGCTTTCAGAGAAGAAATCGTCCTGTTATTCACATCCAGACCTTAATTTTTCTTGTTCTGGCCAGAGTGGATATGGACTGCATTGTCTAGTTCATATGTTTCACATGCATGCACACAGTAGGTTTTATAAGATAATTTCACCTTTTATAAAAACAAACTATACCAAACAACATGCAATGAAACTATTTAGTTGGTTTCAGAATTCAATTTAAATTATTAAGCACAATATGAATTTTTAAAAAATTGTCTTATATCTGCAGTAATACAAAGCTCAATAGTTCAATACTAAGTTATCTTTTAAAAATGTATGCTTTGAGGTTAAACAAACAAACAAAAACAAAACAAAACAGTCTTATTGCTAAGAAATGTCCACACCGTTAAAAATCACCAGTGCTTGATTATTGGTAAAGTGAATGAGGCTCCCCTTCCGTAGAGGTTCTGGCTCCTAGCCATCAAGCCCAGAACCTGTGTCCCTGTCCTTTGGATCTTCAGTTACCCTGCTGAGTCAGACAATTGAAGAACAAATTGCACAAACAGCACAGAAGATTTTTCTGATGCAAAAAGCTGACCTTTAAGAACCTCTAGCTTGAATAATTTTCTGCAGAAAATTGACCATATTTGACCATATTTGAACTGAACATTTCCATACAGCTTCATCCCTATCATCATGGTTTTAGGGAGAATATGTACAAAACTCATTTCCTTTGCCCATATCTATTCCACAATATGTCATAAAGTAAAAGGATGAGAAGATCCTAGTCTATCATCAGATGGAAGGGGAGGAGGACTTCCCTTATCAGTGGACTGAGGGAGGGGCATGGGAGGAGAAGAGACAGGGAGGGTGGGATTGGGAAGGAAGGAGAGAGGGGGTTACAGTTGGGATACAAAGTGAATAAACTGTAATAAATAAACAAATAAACAAACAAAGAAACAAACAAATAAATTAAAAAAAAAAGAAAAAAAGATGAGAAGAAATATAATTCTATACATTTTTGTGCCTATGGATTTTTCTCAGTCTTCTGTTTTTAATTTTATCCAGCCTGTAACAGTACAAATGAATGCCCTGCTTTGAGGGAAATTCACAAACATGAGCTACTAGAACGATATTTGAGTGGCCTAAAGTCTTTCTCTACAGCAACTGACCTGCATACTTCGAAATTATCAGAGCCATCATGACAGGCATCAGGAGGCTCCTGAGCAGAGGTATTCAGCTGAAGCCCCGCATCATCCACACACTCGGCCCCTTCTACAGCTGCTACAATTTCAGTATCAGAATCAGTTTCTGAAAATCTTTTCTTGATTGCTTCTTTTTGCCTAAATGTGTGCAAGAGCTGAGGATCCCTGTGGCAGAATCTGCCTTTACTCCCTGAGTGGCTCCCTGGGGCTCTCTTCTCCACCATGGATCCCCTTGGCAGGGGAGGACTGCGTTCTTGGTACCTTATGACTTTTCCTCTATAGACATTTAAAGAATGACTCGTACATTCCATCAGCTCTTGGTGCTTTTCACCTTTGGATCCCGGATCAACAAGCTCAATTCTGTCAGGAGTGGAAGACCCAGCCAGGTTTCCACATGGATTTTTATTATTTCTCCTCCTTCGAGAAAGTCTGAATTTAACCTGGGCTTGTCTTTTTGCCTGAGCCCAGTGACTCTCATCTGTGGAAGATGAATCTGAAGTCTCCGTAGAAAGTTCTCTCCACCTGGGACTTGAAATCTGGAGGTGAAAGTCACTTCTTCTCCCCTTTGCTTGTTCTTCTGCATGCTCATATCTCTGAGAGACCCTTCTCCTCCTCCTAGGCTTCTGTTTTACTGGTTTCTTACCAGACTCCTTTCTAGCATGGCTCAGCACCATTACAGGGGTGCAGTGCTCAAATGCATCTTCTGACATGTCATGCAAGATGGAAGATCTAGACAAGGTATCAGGCAAAGGATGGGACATGGGAATGGAAAGGAAAGTCATGGGAAAACAAAGAGAGAAAGAGAAAGAATGATGAAAATGACAGCACAACCAGAAGTTGGTAAAAAATGATAAACTGAAGAAAAGCTAAAGGAAGGGGGGTTAGATCCATGGACAACATAAAGCAGAAGCAAGAGCCACTGAGCTTCAGGTCATGAGAAAAAAAAGTACAAAATACTAGTCTAAGGAATATTGAATAAGATCATTTGCCCAGGACTTACCTGCAGATGTCCTGAGTAGATGGACAGACAGACAACCTTGATTGGCTCCTGGGAGCTGTCCCTGTTGTTGGGCTGCTTGCCTGGAGAAACAAGTTAGATAGTTTGGCATCTTGATTAAGGTAATACATGGTTGATATCTTGCTTTTTTTCCACATATTAAAAAAGTTACAACAAAGGTGGCTGCTGGTCATGGTGCTCATAGTACAGCTCACTGAATGTGGGAAGTCAGAGGACTTGTTTTGCAAAAGTAAAACCAGTTTGAGGAACCTGAAACAGCTGATGTGCTACCCTGCTCTGCTGTTGCTTCATTTGTGAGAGAGGAAGATGATTCCACAAGTTTCTATTCTATTTACTATAAGCACTGGAGTGGAATAGCTCAATTTGCCTGGGAAATAAGTGAGTGTTCAAAGGTCCCAATGAAGTAAAGAGCTACAATACCAAGATGTGAGGAGGGTCATGATAGGTTGGTAAATGTGAGTAATCAAATAGACATCAGGTTGCTAGATAACACCATGAGTTAGCAACTAGGTCCCATGAGACCATATATTTAAAAACACTTTTCAATATTTTAAAAGCCTGTAGCTACTACTGTTGTGAATTCATTATTGGAATAAACATAACCTATCTTTCAAAACATTGTTAACCTTTTTTTAATATTTTTGTCACTCCCTGTGACAGTTTAAGTTTGAGGCTGAGAGCCTGGAATAATTCAGATGGTTAATACAAAGTTAAGAACATTTCACTAAATTCTTTCTTTTGAAATCTAATATTATTTGACTCCATTGACTTCTTCACTGCTGTGCTTAATGCTGGCAATGCCGGACAGTTAGATTCCATCGTATATGGTGATTCACCGTGGGACTTACACTGTGGTGTCATCTAACCCTTAGAGTAGTTTCATGCAAAGAAAATAATTGACAGGCTTGAGTTATTTAAAGGCAATTTTGCATATTCAATTAGCACAATCAGTGTTTGTGGTAAACACTATAATTTTTTTCTCAGCTGAGGAAGCTGAGATATTGAGGTCGTTTTTTGTCAAGATGTAGAAGAGTGAACATTTGGGCCAAGAACCTGGCTTTGTCTTCTACATTCTAATCACCAGAGAAGTAGCCGCTCTCCGTTTGAACAAGAGAAACTAAGGAAACTACAGTTCCACATTCTAGCCTGGCTCACCGCAGCAGCAAAATACCAAGAAAATAATGCTGAGGGCAGAAAGTTGCAAATTTCAAATGATTTTTCAGACCTTTTGTGTTAGAAATATAGGAATTATCTTCCACATTTACGACTGTCAGATTCAGAAAAAGAGAAACTAATTCTAAACCATGAGGCAAGAGAAAAATATTCATGGACTGAAACTGGCACTCTAAGAAGGTCTACACTCTTATCTCTGGATATTCTCCCTTTCCCTTTCTCACGGGAACTCATGTAGTCTATAATGGCCTTGAATTTTTTCTGTATCTGATGATTACCTTGAATTTCTGATCCCCGTCTCCACTACCCAAGTTCTTAGAGTATGCGACTACATTGAACTTCTAATCTCTGGACCTTATGGATGTATCTCCTTCCATGTTAAAAAAAATACTTTATATGCATGGTTAAGTTAGGAGTTTGGACTCAGAGAGACTTTGCTGAAAATTTCCAGCAGGCTCAAAATAACCATAGGACCACATAAAAGTGAGGCAATGTGGTTAAGGTAGAGAAAATAGAGGATGGAGGAGAGGTCAGACAGAGGCCTGTGCTGCACTGATGTCTTCGTAAGGACTGCAAGCAGCCTGGAGGTGCTGGAGAGGCTAAGAAAATGCACCCTTCTCTTGTCTCTGCAGAAGGAACGTGAGCCTCTCGACAGCTTGCTTTAGTTCCAGGTTGTTGCCACTAGAAGTATAAGTCAGTAAATTTGTGTACAATGTCAAGTAGTTTTTGGTAGTCTTATACCAGTTATAGAAAAATCACATAGGAAGAGATGGTTTGGCTAACATTAAAAGGCAAATGAGAGCTGTTAAGGATGAAATTGAGCTATTCCAGGTGGATGGAACAATGTGCTAAAAAGATGGCATTGTGAATGTGTTCTCAGCACAACTTCTGTGGACTTCTGATGTCTACATTTCCATCACCTCATGAATATCAACACATATTTCATGATATACAATACATGTACCAGGATTCACTTCTTGAAAGTTGTTACTGTTTAGTCATTGTCATTGTTTTCTTTTTTCATTTTTTAAAGTAACACAATTTGAAACTGCCAAGATGGCTCAGTTGGTAAAGGTGCTTGTTGTCAAGCCTGATGAGCTGCAGTTAATCCTCTAGATTTAAGTCAGTGGGTAAATGTTTCTCCACTCTGAAGAAAGGTCCATTCTGGAAATTTCTGTGCTGATATTAGAATTTTTCAACAGGTCCCTAGCTGATCAAAGGCCAGTTCCCCTCTGCTATTAATATGTAATTTGGTGCTTCCTCATCCTCTCTCTTAACTTTTTTTATATCTTGTTTTTGCTTAATTTATAAAACTAACTTTTTAGTTTTATTTTATTTTAGTTTATTCTTAACGACCGCAGCTCATTAAGAAGATGTTGGTAAGATGGCGTGCCTGCAAATCATGACAACAGCAGATAGGTAAGCCTTCATTTTTGCAGCCCACTCGAAGAACTGGAGCCCATAAAGATACTAAGGCAGAATCTATGTAGGACTGCATGCCTTCGCCTGCTAACACAGAATCTAGTCAAGACTGAAGGCCTGCAGCCCACAAAGACACTATCTAGTTAAGACTGTATATCTGCACCCTAAAAAGACAGTAGCTAGGTCAAACTGTGTGCTGCAGCCCGCAAAGGCAGCACCCAGCTTAGAATGTATGCCTGCAGCCAAGTAAGAAAACATAACACTGCCCATGAAGACAGAATCTACGCAAGACTGCAAGCCTGTAGCCTGCAAAGAGAGCATCTAGGTAAGACTGAGTTATGACTTGTTGACTCTTTTCATAAACTGAGACCAAATGAACCCTAGCTTATCTTACTTTTGACCTACTTTATTCAGGAAATATGAATGAGCCATATAACACAACAGGTACTGTGAAGAATAAAGAAGCGACATCTAAATACATTTAGTTTCGGGAAAATGCACATAAAATGTGATTTACAGAGCCTGCCTATTGATGGCCTGCCAGAGGAAGAGTGCCTACCACAGAGCAGAGTCCAGTTCATAGAGGAGCCAATACTTAATCTAGAAGGGAATAATGAGAATTAAGTTGAAGGAGTTGTTCAGAGAGGGACATGGGTGTGCTAGTGTGTAAAGAGCAGAGGTATGACTGCTCAGAAATCAGCAGAATATGTAGATGGCACAAGGACATGTATTATTAGATTAAAATTAAGAATCTATCTGTCATCTAACCTATCTATCCATCCATCTATCTATTATCTGTCTATAATATATAATCTTTTATCTATTTGTAAATTATTTATTACTTCTTTACTATCTATTTATAACCTCCTTCTGTTGTCTGATCAAGTTGCAATCTTTTAGCATGTACAAAGTTGCATTTCAAGTAAATGGAAAATGGTTTGTTGTTAAGCAAAGGTATTAGAAACATAGAATAATCACTTGTAAAACTGCAAATCTACTCTATCTTATGAATTCCAGCAGTTTAAATAATGAAATTTGCAGGCAAATAAATGGTGGGAACTAGGAAAGATCATCCTGAGTGAGGTATCCCAGAAGCAGAAAGACATGGTATATAATCACTTATAATTGATATTAGACATACAATATAGGATAAACATACTAAAATCTGTATACTTAAAGAAGCTAATCAAGAAGGAGGACCTTAGGTAAGATGATCAAGCCTCACTCAGAACAGCAAACCGGATGGACATAAGAATAGGGAGAAAACAGGCAACAGGACAGGAGCCTACCACAAAGGGCCTGTGAAAGACTCTACACAGCAGGGTTTTAAAGCAGATGTTGAGACTCATAGCCAAATTTTTGGCAGACTGCGTGGAATCTTATGAAAGAAGGGGGAGATAAAAGACCTGGAGGGGACAGGACTTCCACAAGGAGAGCAACAGAAACCAAACACTGGGCCCAGGGGCCTTTTCTGAGACTGATACTCCAGTCAAGGATCATATGTGGAGATAAGCTAGAACCCCTGCACAGATGTAGCCCCTTGCAGCTCATTGTACAAGTGGGTACCAATAAGGGGAACAGTGGCTGTCTCTGACATGAACTCAGTGGCTGGCTCTTTGGTCATCTTCCCCTGATGGGGAAACAGTATTACCAGGCCACAGAGGAAGACAATGCAGCCAGTCATGAGGAGACCTGATAGACTAGGTTCAGAAGGAAGAGGAGGAGGACCTCCTCTATCAGTGGACTTGGGGAGGGGTATGGGAAGAAAAGAGGGAGGTAGGGAGAGATTGGGAGGGGAAGAGGGAGAGGGCTACAGCTAGGATACAAAATGAATAAATTCTAGTAAATAAAAAAATAATAAATAAAAAAGAAGAAAAAAGAAAAAATTGAGTATAATAAACCACAATATACGTAAAAGAAACATAATTATATATATTTGTAATATTGAGAAATTATTGAAATAAACCCATACACTTACGGACACCTGATTTTTGACAAAGATGCCAAAACCATACAATGGAAAAAAGATAGCATCTTCAACAAATGGTGCTGGTCCAACTGGATGTCTACATGTAGAAAAATGAAAATAGATCCATACTTATCACCCTGCACAAAACTGAAGTCCAAGTGGATCAAAGACCTCAACATAAAACCAGACACATTAAATCGGCTAGAAAAAAAAGTGGGGAATACCCTAGAACTCATTGGTACAGGAGAAAACTTCCTGAACAGAACACCAACAGCACAGGCTCTAAGAGCAGCAATCAATAAATGGGACCTCATGAAATTGAAAAGCTTCTGTAAAGCAAAGGACACCGTCATCAAAACAAAGCGACTGCCTACAGATTGGGAAAGAATCATCACCAACCCTTTATCTGACAGAGGACTCATATCCAATATATATAAAGAAGTAAATAAGCTGAAAAGCAATAAACCAAGTAATCCACTTAAAAAATGGGGAACAGAG